ATAGGGTCACTGACTGATATGCCATATCTTAGGCTTTTGATTTATACAGAACAATAAAGAAAGCTAGTGAGTGAAAAAACAAACAAACAAACAAAAGCTCACATATTTTAAAACATTTCGTGTTCAAAATATTGTATTTCTAAATTAAACTGCAAGTTATAATTGGTAAAATGTAATGATAATGAAAAATAGTTTTACAGGTTAATATACTAAACTAAATACAAAATAATTATACAAATGATTGGAATAAGAAAATGCATTAAATGCTTAGAGCTTTTTATTGAAGACTATTTTAAAAAATATCAATTCATACTTTTTATTTTAATTTATAAAACTCAGAGATTTTACAAAGAATCAGATTTATTTTTGTTCAGGCAAAAGACAAATCATATTTATGACGTTTGAATTATTTCAAATTAGTGCATCTCTGGAAAAAGAGGGTTGGCTATATGTTTGATATTTATGTATTCATTACAAAATCTCTGCCAAATGCCATATGTTGTGCCCTGTGGCGACAGACTCTGAGTTATAGTAGAGAAAAAGATAAAAATGTCTCTATCTTCCTATCTGTGTTTCAGAGTGTAAGTTACATAGAGATGGAAAGATAAGAAGGAAGGAAGGAAACGGGGAGGGAAAGAGGAAAAGGAAGGAAGAACAAATTAGGACAGAAAGAAGAAAGGAAGGGAGGATTGATCTCTGAAGAAACTGTGAATTTATTTGCGACCAAGCATAGTTGCAATCAGTGCAGTCCTGGGAACTTTCACAGAAATCCATACGTGGGAGACAGACAGCGGGGCTGCTGAGATGCTCAGCCTGCTTTTTGTGAGCTTGGAGAATTTCTTTTTGTTCTCCTGTCTTCAGTTTTCTCATTTCAAAAACGAGGAGTAGAATCAGGTCTTTTAAGACCCTTTCTGCTATCAGTTCTCAACCTGTGGGTTGCTATCAGTTGTGACCCACAGGTTGAGAACTGCTGCTCTGGAGCCTGAGACCATCGGAAAACACAGATATTTACTTTACAATGCACCAACAGTGGCAAAATTACAGTTATGAAGTAGCAACAAAAATAATTTTATGGTTGGGGGTCATCCCAACATGAAGAACTGTATGAAAGGGTCGAGGCATTAGAAAGGTTGAAGGCCACTGCTCTAGATGATAGATGATCTGGGACTAACACTGAGACTTCAGGCTGATGATTTTTTCCTCTGTATAAGAGCAATCAAGTGTTTCTGTTTAGGCTTTTACAACAAAATTTCTTACCTCTGTATTTAACCTTAATATATTGATCTGTGGTAAAAACAAACAAACAAAAAAAAAAAACCAACAAAGTACACAGAAACACAATGATGAAAACAGAACTAGATGCTAGGCACTCCTGATCATTTGAAAGGTCAAAATCAATTTTCTTCATTTGATGGTTCCTTATCTTGTGTTGGAGCTGGGGGTATAAGGGCTGCTTCCTGAATCTGTGTTTTTAAGCTTTGAAGGCAAAGGAAGGGATGGATGGTCTAGAGGGTTGGAAATGAGGATGATACTAAGAGGCTGAGAGACCTAGGAGTTTGGAAAGGCTGGAAACCTAATAGAGCAATGAGAGGCAGACAGGGAGAACATAGTTCTTAATGGCTTAGGTAGCAAAAGTTGGTAACTCCATATGCACATGTGGATATGAAAATAAGTTCTTTCTCTCTCCCACTCTTCTGATGAATGTGGCTGACTTGTGATGCCTGGCCAGGCATAGGGTTAGGATGCAAATGACTTGGACTTTTCAGTGTCCAGTGGGAAAAGAAGCAAGCCCAGGCATCTAGGAGAGAAATCAAGCCAGCCCAAGCTGTCTGTGCAGCTAGAGGAAACAAACACAGAAGCCTGGGCTCAGAGGCAGGATGGGAAGAACAGAGCTGCAGTCTCCATATTGCAATCAGTGAGCACCCTTTCAAAATGCCAAGGCACCTCATCTATAGTAATCAAAGGATTAGCAAGCACTTTTATTAAACCATGGGTTATAAGAAATACAACACAATTGAGCAGAAAATACTGTGTTTTCTATCATTATGTGACAGTAATCTCCTGGACATGACATTTGCAAAAGTGTCTAAGAATATACCTTCCAGGTTCTTAAGTTCTTAATGACTTACTTTCTCTCCATCTTTCATTTTCATAGGTAAGATTTTCCTGATGATGACAGGAAATTCTCTTTGTATTAAAAGGGGAGAAGGAAATCTTGGGAGAATTCAATGTTTTATTTAAGCCAATTTAAAATAAATGAAATATATTTGTCCATTTCTTAGCATATTTATCTAAATAGGAGAAGATATGTATGGAAATGTGTATATATTTTATGTTTGATTCTTTGAATGGCTTATTTAAATTAAAATATTTCTATTCATTCATTAGACATAGAAAATTAGAGACTTCATTTATATTTTGGATATTTGAAAATAAAAATAAATAAAATACCATCATAATGAATTTTAACATCAAAGAAAATTACAGTTTTTCTCTTCTTAATTGAGAATATTCAGAGAAGCAGATACTTATGCACAGACTTTGAAATTATCACCCAAAGCAGTTAACTATTAAACTGTCTTGTCAAGTACTTCTTGGCTTGCATTTTTAATAATATTTGTGGTACCTTCAACTTTGTACAGGCAAAGACTGTGAAATGCTTGCTTTATAACTTTGGAAGAAGCCGCTGTTTCAATTCCTTTTGTCCATTTCCTTTTGTTAGCAGGGTCCTATTGGAATATATGTTGCAGAAATAGAAGTTCTACACATGAATTAAAGCCAAAGATTTGAAATCTCCTGTGTTTTGTATCAGAAGACTATTATAAATTGAAATATAAAACAAAGATAATGTAGCATTTTGATATTCTTGTTTTTCTGAGAACATTTCAGTGCTATTTCTATTTTACTAATTCAAAGAATATCTTTTAATTAATCTCATTACAGTATGTTATTTTTATTGTTTTCACTTGGTTAGTGGTGGTGCTCTTTTTCATGAATTATTAATCATGGCATTCGTGATTAATAAGTATAATAAAAAGATTGATCCCTGGATTGCATCAGGAAAAAAAAATGTAAGTAGATTAATGACAGAGTGCTGAAATAGAAGGCTGAGTTATAAATGCAAACTGCTAAGTAGGAGTTTAAATAAATTCTGAGAGAGGAAAAGTGAGATGAAATGCAATGAACTAAGGCTTCCCATAACACCATCATGTGAAGGTTATTAGAGATAAAATCTTGATGTCTCTCTCTTGTGAATTTAAGCAGCTCAGAAGTTTTCCCTCATTAGCACATTTTACTATGTCTAATAACAGCCAGAATTTTGAGAGGGACCATCAGAGGTAGATGATTTATGGGCATCCCTGGGACTCCACATTTGTCATGTTTTTGTCAGTTGAACAGAACCAAGAAATAATGCTTTATTTAATTTTCTGTCTGAATAAATGAGATCCTATCAAGTTTATCTCCATTGATATCTGAAATCACATTCTGGATTTATTGAAAGTCATTATGGTTTCACTAGAAACACAGTGCATGAATTCATGCACCAGTGGGGGTCCCTCAACCTGGCCTGTGGGATCGGCCAAAACTGATCTGACATCCCTGAGGGGTCCTGGATTGCAAGAGGGTACAGTCCAGGCCAAGGGACTCCACTGGTGCATGATCAGGACAGGGAAGGGACACAGGAGGTTGGCCAGCCAGAGTGGGACCAAGGGAGGGCTTCAGAGCATGCATGGCCCATCTTGCTCACTCTTGATTGGCCAAACCCTAACAACACACTCACCTATAGGTCTGAGTGTCTTCCTCCTGGTGGTCAGTGAATATCATAGAGATGGGTTGACTGGTTAACTATCTTTCCCCCAGGGGTCAGTGCAGTGAGCGTTGAGGAGTCTTGGCATATCATTAGCATGTTACACTTTGATTGGTTCAACGGCCAACTGGATACTTAGAATATTTGGCTTTTATTATATAGGATTGCTCTGTGTGTTTCACAGCCAATTTTAAAGAGTTAAAAATTACATATAGTTTTTTCACAAGTTTAAGAGATTTCTTAAATTATAGTAAAATATTTACAAAGAAAACAATTGCTTCTATATTGTTCAGACAGGGTATGATTCATTAAGATTCTCAAAATAGTAGTATTTTACTAGGAAAGGGATTGGATTAGATTCTTCTTTGACCAAGTAATATTTTTTGAAGCTGTATAAATTATACTTAAGTTTTCTACATTTAGTATAACTTAGAACTCTTAAGATCATGCATAAAATGATGCATTGGTAAAAAAATAATTAATGCATTCCCAGGATATAAAAGCACATCAGTATTTGGATGACAAGGCTCTGCATATTACTGATCTGTAATTTTTATCTCTATATTATATGTTTCTAGGTTTATATTAGTGGATAAACTTATGAGTAAACATTTAGTTATCTAATTTGTAAAAAATTCCAACACAGATTGATTCAAAGAAATAAAGATACATTATTAACTGTAAACTAATGACTTTTCTTTCAAGCTTTATTACATTCATGTGTTATTTGTAACCTGTCAGAATTATATAAGTGTGATTTCACTTGTCACATTTTCTTTTCTTATTTTCCTCATTTACTGTTACTTTCTTATTGGTGTCTTTCAAATATTGTTTCTTTTAACTAAGACTTCATTTACCTCTTAGTTTATATATTTTCTTCCAAATATACATATTTTTCTTTCACTGTCCCTTGTTAACTGCATACACATTCAACTATATTTTATTTTTACACTGGAATACATGTTGGTGTTATTTTCTGGGTAATATTATTCATACATGTTCACATATGAGTTAACCTTGGAGATCATAAATTATTATTTTATTTAACTTTATACTTGCTCTATAGCTCCTCCTCTCAAAACTATACATCAAGTATACATTAATTTGCACATCTGAAATGACTATTTTTTTTTTCCTGGTCATTGTAATTCTGGTAATTTTCAACCATGGCTTTCTGCTCTACATTACGCAGTGGGAAGAGATTGGCGAAGTGGATGAAAACTATGCCCCTATCCACACCTACCAAGTGTGCAAAGTCATGGAGCAGAACCAGAATAACTGGCTTCTGACCAGCTGGATCTCTAACGAAGGCGCCTCCCGGATCTTCATAGAGCTCAAGTTCACGCTGCGGGACTGCAACAGCCTTCCCGGGGGGCTGGGGACCTGCAAGGAGACCTTCAACATGTACTACTTCGAGTCGGACGACGAGCACGGGAGGAACGTCAAGGAGAACCAGTACATCAAAATCGACACCATCGCCGCCGACGAGAGCTTCACGGAACTCGATCTCGGGGACCGGGTCATGAAGCTGAACACGGAGGTCCGGGACGTGGGGCCGCTGAGCAAAGCGGGCTTTTACCTCGCCTTCCAGGACCTGGGCGCCTGCATCGCGCTGGTCTCCGTGCGCGTCTACTACAAGCGGTGCCCCTCGGTGGTGCGGCACCTGGCCGTCTTCCCCGACACCATCACCGGGGCCGACTCCTCGCAGCTGCTGGAAGTGGCGGGCTCTTGCGTCAACCACTCGGTGACCGAGGAGCCACCCAAAATGCACTGCAGCGCCGAAGGGGAGTGGCTGGTGCCCATCGGGAAATGCATGTGCAAGGCTGGCTACGAGGAGAAGAACGGCACCTGCCAAGGTAAGGACTTGCCTGCGCGTCCGCACTTGCCTGCGCGTCCGCAGGGCTGTCTCCCTCAGGTGGGTCCTGAAAGGCCTTTCCTCCGAGGGTGATGGGCAGGCGGCGGCCTTTTCCTTGGCTGATTGATGGAGATGATTTCTTTTTTGGTTTGATATTCTCTCTTCTCGGGGTTTTAAAAATGGCTGGCAACGATGATAGATGTAATGTTCTATTTTATTGGCTGTACATCCTTAATAGAAAGTATCTTACATGAAGTGTAGTATTTCCTATTCATCTTCTTGCTTTCAGAAGTTTCAGAAGTTGTTGTTGTTTTTTTTTTTTTTTAACAACTCAAGCTGAGGGATGATCTCTATGCATGTAACTTTATTGGTATGATTATCATCTGCCTCTCTACTGTTATTTTCCCTCCATGAAGAGAAAATGGTAATGTCACTTGCTTTATAAAATTCAGGTGCAAATCTTAGATGAGACTTGTTCGGGCATACTTTTTAACTGCCTTTTAAAAATTCTTCCGGTAATAAGTTCAGCTATATGAACTCCATAGGGAAATATCTGTGAGCTGCAGGACTTACTTTACTGTGTTATTTACATATCATTGCCATGGCGTGTTTGTTTTTAAACATTTACAGGTCATTTTTGGATGCGCAGGGAGTAGAGCCAAGAAAACAACTGCGTGGAAAGAGAGCTAATACAAAAAGGTTATTTCAGAGCAATTTGCACTTGGAGATTCTTTTTATTTCAATTTTATTTTAAATTGATACTGGATCATACAGTCTTCCCTCTTCACTTGAAAATACTCTCATTTTGCCCACAATGTAGTGAGTTGCCCTGTTAAATTTGGATTTTTTATCAGTGGCTTTTTTGAAGAAGATAGTATTATACTTTATGTGAAAGTAAGACCAGCTTATAAGGAAGATTTTTTTTCTTAAAAAAATCATTCATCCTTATGAACGTACACTTGCTTTCATCATGATGTCCATGTACTAAAGAGGCAATGAGCGTTAATGTGTATTAACTGAGGAGAAAACCAAATATTGAGACGTCACCCTAGTCCCACCTGGGTAGCTTCAGGTGCATGTTTTTGCTAAATCCAATGTATAACGTGATCAGACTTGTTCAAGCTTGTTCAGGCCTGAATGTGAGTTGATTGTAAATCCAGGGAAACCAAACTAGGGAAGTTACCTGTAAATCACAGTGATGCTGCTTAATTTTTTCTCTCTAGAAGTATATTGCACCATTTTTAAATTTCCTTTTTCAGCATCAGCTCATATGTATTGTGCCTCCTTTTATAAGTGTATGGTTGGTGTTTTGTCATGTAATATATTATACATTTCTAGACACACACACACACACACACACACACACACATAAACACAAAGTTTTATTAAGTCAAAATTATGTTTCGGAATGCTTTTAACATTGTCAGGGAAATGAATTATTTTTCATTCAGAATAGGATTTAAAAGTTCTAACTAACTTTACCTTAACTTTTTTTTTAAACAGTCTTTTTAGTATAAGGTGAGGATATATGTAATTATGGAAACAAATATAAACCATTGAATACATTTCATTCCGTTCTCTAAAATATTTACAATACAAATCTTATCATTTCTAAAAATGTGTTTGCTAGTATTATAAAGCAACTTGCTCTATATGATTAATTGTTTATGTAATTTTGAAGAATTTATGGTTATTTTAGTTCAGAGCTCAATGACCTTTGTCTTCCTTCAGATTGACAGAAGGTATGAAAGATCTCTGCATTTGTAGAGGGTACATTTTTATTACTGCTGGGATTAAAATAATACCTTTATGATGAAAATATATTGGAGAAGTAGTGTCCTGATGGAATGTGGCTTAGTGCAGGCATTAGATGCATGGTTTTCTCTTAGCACACTCTTCCCTTAATAATTGAAAAGAGACTTAATTGAGAGACAATGGGGCGAGCCGCATAGTCTATACTGTAGGAAAGATCACTAAACTGAACTCTGCTCAGTGTGTTTACTGCTCCACCGTAGTAGTAGGAACAAAGCTGCAGGGTCATGAAGGCTGCTGTACAGAATGTAGTGAATCTGTATGAATAGTGCCTCTTGGTGTTTTCCAGTGAACAAATAGTATCTGGTCGTACTATGAGGAAATCCAAATGTTTATTCTATAAATAACATCTCACTGAATAATTAAGTGTTGAAGGTTTGCTTTTGAAAATTAAGGCATCATAGCTATTCCCGAGACATTTATATCTATATATACATGTAAGTAAATGTATGTATATATAGATGCACATACCCTATTGGGTATGTGCATAGTGTCTTATGAAATTCCACCATAAAGCTAAACCAGAAATTTTCAACCTTTTTCATCTCATGGAATACGTAAGCTAATTACTGAAGTCTGTGCTTGTGTGCACGCGCACACACACACATTTGCCAATCTAACAAAAAATGAATACTCTTTTGGTTCATTCACATCAGATGGCTATTGTTGTGTTAGCTGTCATTTTTCATTTGACCATTTAAGGGATAAAAGGCCAGTACCCCTGACTAAATAGTCAGGTATTGCATGTTTTAAAAATTCTTGTGCACACCAGTTCGCCATCACTGCTCTATTCTATGATTTTATTCTGCTATCCCCAAACTTTTAAGTGAAGATCTCAGTGTTTTAGAAATACCTTTGACAGGCCAGAATTTTATGAATCATTCTTAACATCTCCTTTCTACTCACTACCAAATTCTAATCTATCACAAAATAGTTATAAAAATGGCAACCCAACTATCTTGTAAAATCATTTATGTCTCTCTGTTTTCGTCCCTCCAATCTATAAGCATAACTGGTTAGATCTTTACTATCAAATTCAACCAATGACTTCATATGTAGTTTTTATTTTAGCCATGTGAATGTATCATATCTTCAAAAATGTAAATCTGGTTGTTTCACACACATATTCTCAGGCCCCACCTAACTCCAACAACTACACTTGAAATACTTCAGTAGTTTTCTTTAAGATAAAATTTTTATAGTAGCTTAAAATCTTGCATGGTTGCTTTTTAAAAATATATTTTATTGATTTTTACAGAGAAAGGAAGGGAGAGGGATAGAGTTAGAAACATCGATGAGAGGGAAACATTGATCAGCTGCATTCTGCACACCCTCTACTGGGTATGTGCCTGCAAACAAGGTACATGCCCTTGACCATAATCGAACTTGGGACCCTTCAGTCCACAGGCCAATGCTCTATCCACTGAGCCAAACCAGTTAAGGCAGATCCTGTATGGTTTGTATGGTTTTGATCCTGTTATCTCTTTGGACACATCTTAAACTATGCTCTTCTCATCCACTACGCACCAGTCACACTGACTTCCTTCCAATTTCTCAAAGGCAATTTGCTCACTTTCACTAATTCTTCTGTAATTCTGTTACCTTCCCTTAAACATTTTTTTACCTCCTTAATGCTGGGTTAACTCATACTAACCCTTCAGCTCTGTGGTCCAACTCCTCCTCCTCAGGAAGGATTTCTCTGACCCTTCAAGACTAAGGCAGGCCTGTTATTTACTCATATAATTGATCCTTAAATAACCTATTAGAGTTATAATTTTGCACCTATTTGTTATAATTTGATTAATGATTCTCCCCACCCTTATCAGACTACATAATCATCAATGGCAGTGGTGATGTTCTTTAAGGAATGAGAAAAAAATTAAAAGGTAGGGACAACAAATTCAAAGTGAGGAAATAGAATGGCAAAGGCATAAAATAATACTGTGGTTTAAAATTATTGATTTGTTTATCTTTGTATTTATCAGTTGAAAATATCCTTGTTTACAGTTGATGAATTTTAAATTCATTCTTTCTTAGTCCTAAGATTCTCAGGCCAAATTTTCAAGGTATTAAATCATATGTGATTGGCCCATGATATATTAATGATTATAGAGGCCATCTCAGTGATTTTAATAGAACTTAAAACATCATATACTGGAATATGTTGAAAAGGTGGCCTTATTATATTCAATAACTCAGTTTCTTTTTTATATATAAGATTAATATCAAACCATGATCTGCATGGACTATGAGAATATTCAGGTTGAACTGCAGAAACCCAATTTTGTTGTTGTCACTAAGTTGTCAAAGTCCTCAATAAGACAAAGAGCAATAAATACTAGAGCATAGATTTTGGTTTGCTAGATAAAATTTTGCCCTCAGATTACTTGATACCATAACATAGGTCTTTTTAAAATTTTCACAAAAATATGTAATGAAAAACTTTTTATTGCTATAAATGTGAAACTGGATACGCAGATGGGTAAAAGAGCATACTTTCGTGTTACAGTTGATGTAATACATGAAATTTCCCAAATGTCTTTTGAGTTTATTTCTGCATCTTATAGTGTTAGAAAGATAAATGCATTTGGAAAATGGGTAATTATTATGTCAAATAGGAAGGCTTTGTGTATATCTCATCAATCATATTTTGCTATAGTTCTGTATTCTTTTGCCCCTTAAATAAAATGTTCAATATTCTAGAATGGAGATAATGTACTTTGGTCATAGTGAGATAGAAAAGTGATATATTTTCTTAGTTTTACCTTTTTTGGAATTTAATTAAGGATATAACTATAATAAGCTGATGTTTGAATAAATTTATTCTAATGATTTTCACATATTAATATTTACCAAGTTCATACTAGGAGGTGATCTGGTAGTTGCTATCAGATCCGGCTCACGTGGAAGGCATGATGAGTTGACTCAAAAAGGCTTTTAGAGACTAGACTTTCAGGATTGGGACTACTGAGCAGCTCACTGACACATGGGCTTACACTCAGAAGACAACAAAAAAAGTGGTTCTGGAGTCTTAGCCCATTTAGCAAGTCACTGACCTATCAACTTCATGCCTACTCACTGAACTCCCTTTAAGAGAAATTGACTATATTTTCCCTACTAATCTGGCTTTAAAGAGGTAACAGAATTCTATGGTTTCCATTGTATTAACTTAAAATATAGAGTTCATTT